TCAACATTTTGAATTTATGGGTAACTTTCTCAATATTAAAAAAAGTTCTGAATACTTAGAAACAATGCATTCAGTAATGGGGATTCAATGGGTTTTGTTACAAGTGTAAAAATACGCAGAGATTCTAAAAATTCTTATTAAAAGTTTTATCAAATGTCTTACATAGATGTGAGATTTATATAGAATCCACATTATGTGAGTCTCACACACATGTAAAATATTTAGTAAAAACTTTGATAAAATTTTTAAAATTTTTAGCATTACTCTAACAAGTGTCCTTAGAACACTTATTAAGAATGTATTTAATAACATAAACAACATCTACTATTATAAAAAAAAAGTTGTGAATGTGATAAATATCCTCTATTAAATAATTGGGGTAAATTATAAATATACCTCCTGAGATTTGTTTAAAATACAAATTGTTTCCTGTAATTTTGAAAATTATATCCCACCCCCTGAGATTTTTAATTCCATAACAAATAACCCTTTTTATTAATAAAACATCAAATTAATTAAGAGTTTTTAATAAAATTTTGTTTCAACTAATGATTTAGGTAATTTTATTATTATACAACGGTTAAGAATTTTATTTTTTCAATTAATTCTGATAAATAAAAAAATTTGACAAGGAGATATTTGTAATTTTTTAAACCACAAGGGACAATTCATATTATAAATAAATCTCAAGAAGTACATTTGTAATTTATCCAAATAATTTTTATGAAAGAGACGAAAATACCTTTTTCTAGTTATATAATGGAATACATTTTTAACAAATTAATAAATCTAAAATATTACTTTTACCTACCTTTTTGTAATTCATTCATCACTATTTTATAAATCATCACTATTTTATAAATTAGATTAACCCAATTTTTTTAATTAAAAGATATAAAAAATTTGATATCAACACAAAAATTATTAAAATCAAATACAAAATATAAATGAATAGACGAGACTTTACATGATTAGTGTGTCCACTTTTAAAAAAATTTATCTATCCATATATATATTATGGATCTTGATTGAATTTCATATTCATAAACTTATTAAGAAAAAAAAAATTACTAATGACAATCCTTTTGAATTGTTAATAATATTTTTTTAAAAATTCTATTATACTAGTTTTTTTTACAACCATATGGGACTTTTGTAAATAAAATATATTTTGATGATTTTAAATTTTAAAATGATAGGTTTATAATTCAACACATCATTTAATATATATTTTTTGCATATATTTTTTGTTTGTATATTATTTATCATATTTAAATATTAAAAATCTCACTTTTAAATGCGTATGAGTTTTTTGTAAAATACTACTAAAAAATAAGATTTGTGGTGACATTAGCTGCTATTAGAGACAAACAGCAAAACTTTTCCAATTCACTAATTTGGGAAAGAATATTATAAAGGGATAAAATTCAAACCGTGAAAAATGAAAGGATAAGAAAAAAGTAAATAAAAACGTTAAATAGAGGAAATTGTATAAAATAAAATAAAAAAAATTGGTGAGTAGGTATTTTAGTCCCTTTCAAAATAATAATAATAATTCCTTAATAAAACATATTTATTGCCTTCACAACTTTTTATAATAATAAAGGTTGTTTATGTTATTAATGTATTCTTAACAAGCCCTTAAAAAAAGTGTGTTCATTAAATTCGACATTTATAGATAAGAGATCCAACGCTACAAATTAGGGATGGTAATTTGAACCCAGTCCGGCGGGAACCCGACCCCCCGACCTCGATCAGAATGGTTTTTTCCTGAAAAATACCCCTGTGAGGACGGGGATGGTATTTGAAATTAAATCCTCGATTAGTTTCGGGCTGGGGACGGGGATAACTTTCACAGCCCCGAACCCGGCCCGTCCCCGTCCTCGTCCCCGTTTCTCCCTGAAGTGAAATTACTATAATAGCCCTTTATATATACATATATAAACCAAACCCAAAAAACAGATCCAATTCACTCACACGGCCTCTTATCTCTCTCTCTCTCTCTCTCTCTCTCTCTCTCTCTAAAAGCCTCCCTCCTCCATTGCTGACACGCTGTCCTCCTCTCTTTCACTGCCGGCGCCGATCTCCTTCTCTCCATTGTCCTCCTCTCCCTCCTCTCATCATCGTTGAACTCAGATCTGCAAACTCAGATCAGATCTCAACTGTCAATGCCATATCCTCTCATTCGGCGATCTCTCTCTCGTGATCTCTCACTATACTTAGATATGTCTCTCAGATCTCTCTATCTCCCTTTGTGATGTTGATGATGTTGGTGTTGATGTTGTTTGATGATGATGTTGGTGTTGATATTGTTCGATGATGATGTTGATGATGTTGTTCGATGACGATGTTGCTAACTTGTTGTTGTTTGGATTTTTTTTTTTTTGGCTAATTACAAACACCCCCTCAAGGTTTGAGAAATTACAAATTGCTCCTTAAGGGTCAAATTTTCATAACAAATTAGGAAAAATTAGGGAGGAATCTGTATGAAAATAAAAATCTCATGGGGCAATTTGTTATGGAAATATAAACCTCAAGGGGTGGGATGTAATTTCTCAAACCTCAGGGAGGAATCTGTATTTTCATCAAACCTCGAGCGAGGTGTTTGTAATTTGTCCTTTTTTTTTTTGGTCCGGGGAACTTTCGAGGTCAGGGAAACCCAATCCCCGTTGGGGGCGGGGACGGGAACTATGATAGGTTTCCCGTCGGGGATCGGGGCCAGGTACAGGGAAGTTTTTATCGTCGGGGATCTGGAACGGGGAGTGTGGTCCCCGGCCCCGCCCCGGCCCGTTGCCATTCCTACTACAAATGTGTGTGAATTTACATTTTTTTTTTGGGGGGGGTGGTAAAAAATTTGAAGTTTTATAAAATGTTTTGTAAAAATATTCGGCAAGTTAGATTTATTTTGACTAATTTTAGTTAGTTTTTTTTTTTTTTTTGGGGGGGGGGGGGGGTTTAATTTAATTTGAAGTTTTATAAAATGTTTTTTAAAATTTTATAAACCAAACCCAAAAAACAGATCCAATTCACTCACACGGCCTCTTATCTCTCTCTCTCTCTCTCTCTCTAAAAGCCTCCCTCCTCCACTGCTGACACGTTGTCCTCCTCTCTTTCACTGCCGGCGCCGATCTCCCTCCCTCCGTTGTCCTCCTCTCCCTCCTCCTCCATTGTCCTCCTCTCCCTCCTCTCATCATCGTTGAACTCAGATCTGCAAACTCAGATCAGATCTCAACTGTCAATGCCATATCCTCTCATTCGGCGATCTCTCTCTCGTGATCTCTCTCTATACTTAGATATGTCTCTCAGATCTCTCTATCTCCCTTTGTGATGTTGATGATGTTGGTGTTGATGTTGTTTGATGATGATGTTGGTGTTAATGTTGTTCGATGATGATGTTGTTCGATGACGATGTTGCTAACTTGTTGTTGTTTGGATTTTTTTTTTTTTTGGCTAATTACAAACACCCCCTCGAGGTTTGAAAAATTACAAATTGCTCCTTAAGGGTCAAATTTTCATAACAAATTAGGAAAAATTAGGGAGGAATCTGTATGAAAATAAAAATCTCATGGGGCAATTTGTTATGGAAATATAAACCTCAAGGGGTGGGATGTAATTTCTCAAACCTCAGGGAGGAATCTGTATTTTCATCAAACCTCGAGCGAGGTGTTTGTAATTTGTCCTTTTTTTTTTGGTCCGGGGAACTTTCGAGGTCGGGGAAACCCAATCCCCGTTGGCGGCGGGGACGGGAACTATGATAGGTTTTCCGTCAGGGATCGGGGCCAGGTACAGGGAAGTTTTTATCGTCGGGGATCGGAAACGGGGAGTGTGGTCCCCGGCCCCGCCCCGGCCCGTTGCCATTCCTACTACAAATGTGTGTGAATTTACATTTTTTTGGGGGGGGTGGTGGTAAAAAATTTGAAGTTTTATAAAATGTTTTGTAAAAATATTTGGCATGTTAGATTTATTTTGACTAATTTTAGTTAGTTTTTTTTTTTTTTTTTTAATTTTTTGCTTAACTAAAAAATTTAATTTTGGTGTTTAATAAAATTTGAAGTTTTATAAAATGTTTTGTAAAATTATTTGGCATATTAGATTTTATTTTGACTAATTTTAGTTAGTCAAATCAGTATAAGGGTTCGTTTGGAATGTGAGTTGGCTTTTTGACTTTTTTAGCGTAGGATTAGAAAGTTTCGTTTGGGATAGACTTTTTGACATTTTTATTTTTGTGAAAGAAAAAATGAAATGATTTTCGGTTGGATGTGACATTTTGTCATATTTGACTAAAATAGTCTAGTTTGTACTATATGGCTATTTTAGCCCAAACACACATCCCAAACATGGCCTTAGTAGAATTGAATCTTAATATCCTATCTTTTTACGGATTTTTTGAAATAATTTAAATAAGTGTATTTTTTGACTTTTACGAAAAAAATATGTAAAAAAATAAAAAGATGGTATAATCTAAAAAAATAAAAAGATAAAACAGTATACTGTGTAGTGTACCCCCAAATAGTGTCTAAGGTAGATTCCACTGTAATAAAATCTTGAGTCTCACTATTATTGATTAATCATCTATAATTGATTCAGAATTGACTTGGTAATTTGAGACTACTAAAAACAAATTCCACGGTGAGGTATATGAATTATTTGCAATATTTTACAAGATTTTGTAGTAAAAGATAAGAATTGTTGAAAATGCTGCATGATTAATTTCAGATTCGTGAAGTTCATGAAAGTATCATAATAGTGTTGAAAGACTGTATGAAAATTATGTATAAAGTTTTTATTATTTGTATATTATCACCCTTTAGAAAATAATTTTTTTGGCCTGAGAATTTAAAAATTAAAATAAAATCTCTAATCAAGTCACATTCAAGCTGGCCCAAACAGTTAGTTAGTCTATGATTGGATCCAAGAACCAAAACATTCATAAAAACTTGATGTTGTGACCCAGCCCTTATATATTGGGCCAAGCCCACCACCAAACAATTCCATCCACTTCATCTCTTTCCAGATTTCCCTCAAACCCTAGATCCTCACACCATCACTGCTCTCTCTCTGTCTCTCTCTCTCGGATACCAAATCAAAGATCAGAAAAATGGCGACGAGCAATCCAACGGTGTTGCAGTTTTCGCCGTCGTCGACGAGCGTCTCAGCGAAGGTCCATCCTCTGGTGATTTTCAACATCTGTGACTGCTACGTCCGGCGACCCGACCAGGCCGAGCGAGTCATCGGAACTCTTCTCGGCTCCGTCTTGCCTGATGGCACCGTTGATATTCGCAACTCTTACGCCGTTCCTCACAACGAGTCCTCTGATCAGGTTTTGCTTCCGCCTTTCCTTCACACTCTGTTTGTTTCTCGAAGAAAAAAAAAAAAAAACTAGATGAAAAATAAGAGAAACGCTCAAAAACTACGACTCCTACGTTCAGTTTTATTTGATATGAAACACGATAAACTCAGATTATGAATAAATTGTAGATTTGACATCTGCGACCTTGAAATTTTGAGTAAACATTTGAGTCTCCCTTGATTTGGGTTAAAAAAAATGGGTAAAACTCAATTTGATAGTAGAGAGGTTTTTTGAGTGTTTTTTTTTAATACCTAAATTTGAATTTGATATAGTTTTGTGTCAAGGGCTGGAGATGCCCTAATACTGTCCAAAAAAAAAGAAGCTAATTTGTAGACTTTTACTAGGTTTGAACTTTCAAAAAAAAAAAAAAAAAAAAAGCTAATTTGTAGACTTTTACTAGGTTTGAACTTTCACAAATTGGTACAAAGATATCTGTTCATAGCAATGGATTTGCAGGGTAATTGTAGTTCTCAATTGGAGTAACATGAGGGTATTAAATTTTAGATATGTGGAAATTCTTCAAGGAATTGAGTAAGGAAACAATGTTGGCCTAAATCCAGTTCGTTCATTCATTCACAAAAAAGTACTTATAAAAAAAATTTATCCATTCACTGAAATTTATTCTAATAGTTCCTTACTAGACACTAGTTCCGCCAAATAGTGAGAGATTTGTGTGTACGTGTTCACATGAGGGCCATCTAGTGTATTCTTCTTACTTCGTATTTCTTATTTCCTTTGTCCCCAATTTTTATTATTTTTTGTTTGTTATGGTTGTAGGTTGCACTGGATATAGACTATCATCATAATATGCTACAATCCCACCTGAAGGTGAACCCAAAAGAAGTCATTGTTGGATGGTAATTTCTCATCCTACTAGTCCTTGTTTCTTAATCTCATAAAAAAAGCCAATCACCTTGTTTTGTTATATTTACGTTGATCTTGTTTTATATGGAACATGTTTGTTTTGATATTGATGCTTTCCATATATTCAGTTGGATAATTTGAACTCGTGTTTAGTTATGAATCTGTGCTGTTTGCTTGTTCCTTCTACCAAAACAATGTATATGATCAAAGATTTCAAGTAGAAAATAACGAATAGTGCACTAACAGGCTGCATCTAGTCGTTGACAGCTTCAGACTAGTATTCTCCTTTTTATATTTGGTGCTTTTTGTTTTCCTGGAGACCTTATGTAGGTCTAATTTTATTAATTTTTGTAGTCTGCTTGACTTGGTGCTTCTACCAAAACAACGTATATGATCAAAGATTTCAAGTAGAAAATAACGGATAGTGCACTGACAGGCTGCATCTAGTCGTTGACAGCTTCAGACTAGTATTCTCCTTTTTATATTTGGTGCTTTTTGTTTTCCTGGAGACCTTATGTAGGTCTAACTTTATTAATTTTTGTAGTCTGCTTGTTTTGGTGAATGGACACTGCAGCTGTTTTTTACAAGGATGATGCTGTTAATGTTATGCATGAGCTTTTACCTGGTTGTGCCTGTTTCCATTATTTGTTGTGGATTTTCTCCCAACTTGTCTGTATTTGATTCTTGTTTTTTAAAATTGTGTTCTAGGTCTTCTACATTAGTAAATTTTTTCTTCATACCTTTCTTGGGTGCCAATGGAAGATTATATTGGTTCACACTTGCTGGTTGTATCTTTATCAAAAAGAATGTGGATGTGATATCCTTAAATCCTTGTTTTACTTAGTTGAGTTTGGTGGGTGTGAGAGGTGGGAGTTTTCTTGAGTTTCATGTTGGTTTTGCTTTCTATTATAGATAATGAAAATTCTCAAGGCTGTCTCTCTCTCTTCTTTAGGTCAAAGTAATGGGGTCAGTATTCTTCTTCAATACAGCTATACCCTTTCTGAATAGTAAATCTGTGACTCGCGGCAAGAAAAAGTCATGATTCATTAATTTTTTATTTGTTAGCATCTTGTTTCATGGTGGATGAGAACTATTATACTAGAACTCTTGCTAAATTCTTGGTTAAATTTAATTGTGTTGTGAGAAACCTTCATGCAAGGAAGAAAATGCAAAATCTTTGGATCCATGAATTAACCGTAATTGTATGAAATGTGGACTCTGTTGATTTTGGTTGTCTTCTGTTCAGACAATTAAGTTGAATCAACTTGAAAGCCTTGTTCAATTTATCTTGTATTTTGCTACACACATTGAGCTATGTGCATCTTCAGATTGAAATTGAAGCTTTCCTTGTATTTGTCAGTTAGTATTGCTATATGCATTTGGACACCAAACACCATATGAGAGCTAGGTGCAAAATTGTTGTTCTTTTGGAATTTTTGGTTAAGTGGAAAACATGTTAAACTTAGATTTTAAGCAGTTTGGCGAAGTGTTCAATTACCCCAACGGTTGTAGATTTGTGAATGAGTGAAGTATAGACACACCAAAATGGTTGTCATGGCTATGTCTGTCACCTAAGAAGAATTAACACATGTAAGAAAGTAGCATGTTGTGTCTGTGTCATGAACACTCGTCGGACACTTTTCGACTCCTATTGAACACACATCCAAACATTTTGTACTATTTTTCTAAATTGTATGGACTCAGATACACTTAATACACTTGAGGAACATATGTATCACTCACACATACATGAAACACATTACAAATTTAAATAAAATATTATGGAATTCAATCATAAAAGAGAAACGATATAAATTTATATCTACTTGACTATGTTAGACTTTAGAAATTGGTATTACATTGCATTTTGTTATTATCTTGAATTGCTATTCATATATATGACATAATAATTAGTTACCATTCCATTATGTATGACATATAATTGATATATAAAACTATATATTTTGCGTGTGTGCTCCCATTTATTGTAACCTACATTTATTGGAAATATCTGTGTGGGTGTGTCCATGTCGTGTCACGTGTCCTTATCCATCTCCATGTCTGTGATTCTTAGTCTGACATGTATTGGACACAAATTCACCTTGAGCCCAGTTGGGTACGTGTAAAACACACATGGTATGTCCGAAATTATTTATTTATTTTGATCTGGACAAGGCTGGGACATATATAATTAGTCCAACGTGGTCTAGACATGTTTGGGATCCAGGTTGCCATTCTGAAGAGTAAGTTCGATAACAAAAAAAATTAAGAAAATTCTATATTTCCAAATTTCTCATTCTTTGGCTTCCTATGATCTGCATCATGTGGCCTTACATTCTGATTATTCTTCCTTATGCTGCTTCCATAGGAATCAGCCTTCATTTTTTAATTAGGGAATCTGTTCATGAATATATAATGATATTCCACATTTTATTATCTTAGCTGTGTAGTTCAATTTCACGAGTAGTTAGTCACTTTTAATGTTACTGTTATAGTATTATTAGGAAGTATACCAATTATCTATTTTCTTATGGATTAAAATATTTTTCTCTTCTGCATATTTAAATGATGCAGGTTTTCAACAGGCTTTGGTGTCACAGGAGGGAGTGCTTTGATTCATGAATTTTATTCCAGAGAAGTTACAAACCCTGTTCATCTGACTGTTGATACAGGATTCAGTAATGGAGAGACTAGCATAAAAGCTTTTGTCTCTGTTAGTTTGTCTCTTGGAGATCAGCAACTTGCTGCACAATTTCAAGAAATTCCGTTGGATCTACGCATGGTTGAAGCTGAGAGGGTTGGCTGTATGTATTTACCTGAACTCCCTGGTTTTGCAGTAAAATCTTCACTACCGGCATTCATAGACACACACACATGTGCTTGTATATGATGGCAGATACAGATAGAATCTATGCCTAAGAAGTAGAATACTTATAACAAGGTGTGGTGTCTGTGTCGTGTCCATGTTAGACACTGACACTCATCGGACATTTTTCAACACATGTCTAACACTTGTCCAAACAGGTCCTATAGTTTTTAATTTTTCTAGACCCGGGCACTCTTTGGAAATTTAGAGGACACACATATCCGTCACTTAGCTAGCCACAAAATAATTATATATTTGAACAAAATAACATAGGATACAATAGTAAGAGAAAGATGATCTAAATTTATAGGAGTTAGTGTTATGTTGCTTCCTTTTTTTCTTTTTTCTTTTTTCTTTTTTAATTATCTTTCAATGATATATTCATATATTTGTCATAGTAAATATATAATACTATCATAGTTATCAGAATCCCGATTCGGATCTTACGATCATACGATTTTACGATCCATTTGAGTACAATCAATCCGGATCGTGTAAAAAATTCCTTATAGGTAGGATCTTTCGATCTTGGAAATAGGATCTTATAGGATTGTGGAATCTCGATCCGAATATGATCCTATCCGATTCAATTTACAAGCCTTGTTTTGTATTGTATGACATATTTTATTATAAATTTTATGTTTGTTGTCTAAATACCAATTTATGTGATCAAAATAAATAATAAAAATTAAGTAGTATCGAATCAAATAGACTAAGAAAAACAAAATAGGAAACAAACATTCAATTATTGTGGTAATTTAAGAAAATTAACTAGTCGAAAAAACAAACTTAGTTTTAGTAGAGTCTAAGGAAGGTAAGATGATTGCAACTTTATCCTAATTTTTGGAGAGATTATTTTTGTGACTCGAATCCGCTCCACTAAGGATGCTAACGACAAACCTTATCATTTGGTTAAACTGTTCTTTTGAGTTCTTAATCTATTTTTATATCCAACTTTGTTAAATATTTTTTCTTCACTTTTTATGCATTATTGTAGATTGTAAATTATTTTGTTATAGAATTCTTCTTCTTCACTTTCGTTTTTGATGAAATACAAAATTTTTACCATCGAGTTTTCTATTGTATAATATTGTATTTACATTTTACATGGAGTATTATATTTTTCACAATATCTTCACTTCTTATTAATAGAATATAGGTTCATTTTGTGTATACTTTTTAAGAAATGTTTATTTAAATTAAATTATTATATAATTTGTCTTTTTCGGTAGGATCTTACGATTCTTGATCCGATCCAATAAACACCCCAACGATCCAACGTAGGATCCCAATTTTAACAACCTTGAATACTATATATTTTGTCACGTCCTATATGTAAAACTATGTATTGTCATGTCGGCATGTCTGCCATGTTGTGTGTCTGTGTTGCGTGTCTATGTCCGTGTTTCTTAAAATCTCTGCCAACTTTTGTCTCTAGGGAATTAATTCCAGATTTGATATTTAAGTTGCTCATTAAAGCTTAGTTTGTAGGAATATTTCTTTTGGTCAGTGCTTACCCGAACTTATTGCTTTTGGGACTATATGTTTTTGGTAGGTATCCAATATTTTCATTGAGTGAGAATCTTGTAATCTCATCAACCACTGGGGCATCTGTGGTTGATGGTGCTTGTTATTCAAGAATTAAAACCAAATTGAGAGCTTGGAAAATTGATGAAAGCCTCTCCAAAGGAAGAATTTTCAGAAGTTTTTTAATCAATCACCCATTTTCAAATATTTCTATGGATTTTCTTCCCCATAGCTGAGGCTCTTTATTCTCAAAAGTTAAGAGTTCATCTATGATCCTAATTTGTTGATTACATGGCATCACATGATATTCAACCTTGCTAATGTTGAAGGTATCAGTTTAATGCATATGAACTTTTTGTAACATTTTCTAAATCCAGTTCTGATTTGAAGCACAATTTTCCCCCCTTAATATTACATTTGCTGTGAAATCAGAATGATGCTTGAATTTATCTTGATAGTAGAATGGTGAAACTTTAGTTCTTTTCTGGTGTTAATTTATTGCTTTCTTACACACACATATAAACTGTCTTCTTACGTGTTTTTCTTATTTATTTCCAATTGATGTGTTATTTTCTGCCAAAACTATTGTAAGTGTTGTTGGTTAAACAAAAGTCTGCACAGAAATGCTGTTTAAAACTAAGCACCCTTACTAGTTTGATGTGATTTACAATCGTGATGCAAATTTTGACTGGGAAAAATATATGATTGTAGTTGACATCCTTAAGACAACAATGGTTGACAAACTCCCAAATGATTTGGAAGGAATGGAAGCATCAATGGAACGGTTATTAGCTCTGATTGATGATGTCTACAAATATGTTGATGATGTTGTGGTGAGAAGACCAATTCTATCCTCTTTGACTATTTTCATTCTCCAGTGATTTTTACCTGATTCAGTCACTATCTATTCATTTCTCAGGAAGGCCGCATTGCACCTGATAATAACATTGGGAGATTCATATCAGATACCGTTAATTCCATTCCCAAAATATCACCATCAGCGTTTGATAGGCTCGTGAATGATAGTTTACAGGTGCCTAGCTTCATTTTTAAATCCTCATGTGATTTTGCTCTTTTCTTTAATAAAAGGGGTGGGGAATCTTTTTCTTTATATCCTTTTTATATTACTTTTCTAAATTGATTTTGGTTCATTACTACAACATGTGATGAATGGGTCATTTGATTTCTTTAATGATGTTGTTTTGCACCTGAGGACTATGTTTGGATTGCGGATTGTTGAGGGAAGGGATAAGAGAATGGAAATGAAATTACTTCTATGTATGGTTGTTTATTGCAACAGTTATGCCTGTATCTTACTGTGAATTTGCATTTGGCAGGACCAATTACTCTTGCTTTATTTGTCAAGCATCACAAGAACGCAACTAAGCCTTGCCGAAAAATTGAACACAGCTGCTCAAATCCTGTAACTGACTTTGTTGAACTCATTCATTTTCAAGATATTTCTGTGCTGTTAGTGCTTGTTTGGCCACTTTGAGAATTTTGCTCACATTTGATTTCGAGAAAGAGTTGTAATATCTTTTCTGATCTTGAGCATGGAGGTGGTCCTTCATTGACTATCTAAATTTGCTTTTTTTGTGGTGGTAAAATTGCTATGTAGAAAACAACAATACTTTTGTTAGAATCTTAGGGAAATTGAGATGGAATATTGTGGTTCTGAACTGGTTTTTGGAAGGCCTGTTATGATTTTCAAGTTATTTCTTGAAATTGAACCGTTTATTTTTGCTGAAAAGGCAAGGATCAAGTCCTGTTCAACTCCCAGCCATGTCGAAAAAGCCTTCCCCTAATGTTTTGAGTTCCAAACACGTTGCTAAGGGTCGGATTGTTGGAGTTGGAAGGGCCTCTAGGTTTGGATCATATAATTGGATCAAGCATAGTAGGAGTTTAGTTTGCTTTGTTTTTTTGTTGTTTTTTTTTTGGTAATGAAAGAGTTTAGTTTGTGTACAAAAGAAAGTGATTTTTTGAAATAATGATAATGTATGATAGATAATTTAAAAATTACAGTAGAGAAATGATAAATGTAATAGAATGCATCTTCTATAATATTAATAGTGCTTAGGTTGAATACGATAATAATAGGAGTCCAAGAGTCCTGAGTCCAAGAGTCCTGTGTGATGGTTTCAAAATGACATTGTTCTGTAACATTTCTTTTTTCAGCTCTCAACCTTTGAGAGCTAGAGATGACTGAGTTTGAAGCAGCCATCTCCGATCCTAGAGAGAGAGAGAGGAAAATGGGTTGTGGGAACTATTTTTTTTCTTTCAGCTCTCAACCTTTGCTTGCTAGAGATGGCTGAGTTTGAAACAGCCATCTCCGATCTTAGAGAGACAGAGAGAGAGAGAGAATGGGTTGTGGTGGGAACGAGGTCTTCACTCTCGTCATAACCTTCTCAGTAGCTCTCAGCACATACAAATGCAATCGTCTCTGCCAATGCCCCTCTCAAGCAAGACTTCCAATCTGATCCTCGTCAGTGTCGGCAAATGGGTTCAAACCAATCGTCAATATCCCAATGGACAGATTGAAAACAACACCCAAGAAGAGGCAAATTTTGAGTTTGTACATTCTTATTTGAGAAGTTCTGTAGAAATTCTACTGATTTTCTGTTTGTGATTTTGGGATTACTTTGTTTTTCCCTTTTGGTTTGATAATGGGGAAAACTGATGAACAGAATTGGAATCTCAAATTTTCGAAGTAAAGAAAAGAATATTAGATTTTTTGTTTTTGGATCTTGCATTTGGCTGGATTTTTTAACTTGTAAACTAGACACACAAACTTTGATATTTTGAACATCAATTTGAATCAAAAGATAAACCAACACATCTATTTTATAAAATAGAACAGCACAAAAACGAACCCAGAATTGGGGGATCCACAAAAATTTGGATAAACTACCAATGAGTCCTAATAGTTGGATTTAATTCCATTAGATCTTTTTGAAAATAAGTTCTAATAAAATCATCACTAAAAATAATTTTTTGTTACAATTTTTTGCATGTCGCTAAAAATTAACAATTAGTGATTTTTTTTTTTTTTGGTCACAGTTTTTGTAAATTATCGCTAAAACTTGCAATTAGTAACATTTTGCTATGACGCATTTTTTAAAATATTGTTGAAAATTGAAAAATAGTGACCTTTTTAATAACGATTTTTTAAATTGTCGCTGAAATCCTAATGTTTTGAGTTCCAAACACGTTGCTAAGGGTCGGATTGTTGGAGTTGGAAGGGCCTCTAGGTTTGGATCATATAATTGGATCAAGCATAGTAGGAGTTTAGTTTGCTTTGTTTTTTTGTTGTTTTTTTTTTTTGGTAATGAAAGAGTTTAGTTTGTGTACAAAAGAAAGTGATTTTTTGAAATAATGATAATGTATGATAGATAATTTAAAAATTACAGTAGAGAAATGATAAATGTAATAGAATGCATCTTCTATAATATTAATAGTGCTTAGGTTGAATACGATAATAATAGGAGTCCAAGAGTCCTGAGTCCAAGAGTCCTGTGTGATGGTTTCAAAATGACATTGTTCTGTAACATTTCTTTTTTCAGCTCTCAACCTTTGAGAGCTAGAGATGACTGAGTTTGAAGCAGCCATCTCCGATCCTAGAGAGAGAGAGAGGAAAATGGGTTGTGGGAACTATTTTTTTTCTTTCAGCTCTCAACCTTTGCTTGCTAGAGATGGCTGAGTTTGAAACAGCCATCTCCGATCTTAGAGACAGAGAGAGAGAGAATGGGTTGTGGTGGGAACGAGGTCTTCACTCTCGTCATAACCTTCTCAGTAGCTCTCATCACATACAAATGCAATCGTCTCTGCCAATGCCCCTCTCAAGCAAGACTTCCAATCTCATCCTCGTCAGTATCGGCAAATGGGTTCAAACCAATCGTCAATATCCCAATGGACAGATTGAAAACAACACCCAAGAAGAGGCAAATTTTGAGTTTGTACATTCTTATTTGAGAAGTTCTGTAGAAATTCTACTGATTTTCTGTTTGTGATTTTGGGATTACTTTGTTTTTCCCTTTTGGTTTGATAATGGGGAATACCGATGAACAGAATTGGAATCTCAAATTTTCGAAGTAAAGAAAAGAATATTAGATTTTTTGTTTTTGGATCTTGCATTTGGCTGGATTTTTTAACTTGTAAACTAGGCACACAAACTTTGACATTTTGATATCAATTTGAATCAAAAGATAAACCAACACATCTATTTTATAAAATAGAACAGCACAAAAACAAACCCAGAATTGGGGGATCCACAAAAATTTGGATAAACTATCAATGAGTCCTAATAGTTGGATTTAATTCCATTAGATCTTTTTGAAAATAAGTTCTAATAAAATCATCATTAAAAATAATTTTTTGTTACAATTTTTTGCATGTCGCTAAAAATTAACAATTAGTGATTTTTTTTTTTTTTGGTCACGGTTTTTGTAAATTATCGCTAAAACTTGCAATTAGTAACATTTTGCTATGGCGCATTTTTTAAAATATTGTTGAAAGTTGAAAAATAGTGACCTTTTTAATAACGATTTTTTAAATTGTCGCTAAAATTAACAATTTGTGACTTTTTTTAATAGTGTTTGATGAAAAATGCTATTCACTATGCTTGGTTATCATTTTTTAAAAACACTTTTCAGAAAATTTTATTTTTTTATTTTCCGTGTTTTTTTGTTTTTAATGAATTTTTTTAATATTTTGAGCAAATTTTTTTATTTTTTAAACATACCTAACATGCATATACCTAAAAAGTAAATTTTTTTGGAAAAAAAACCTTTTGAAAATTCATTAAATACCAAAAATAGAAGAAAAAAAAATACGAGAATTCAGTACATTTTTTTATATTTTTATGTATTTATTAATTTTTAAAAATATTTTTTTAAAAATTTTTTACTTTTTAGATACATCTAAGTAAGATGCACCTAAAAAAAATAAAAAAAATGTTTAAAATTTTAAAAATATTCACTAAAAACAAAAAAAACACAAAAATCAAAAAACTCAATTTTTAAAAAACTTAATGCAAAAAATTCAAACCAAACATACTGATTAATTCTCATCAAAAGACTTATTAGACAATAACCTATTAAAACTTACTGTTAAGCTCCTCAAAAAATTTTAAAATTTTGAGTATCAATTTAAATCAAGAGAAAACCAAGATGTTAATTTCACACAACAAACCAAGAACACCATTGGGTTGAAAAATTGAATAAGTATAATTCAAATCAACAAGCGACGCAGAGCGAATTTTTCTTTGTCGGCAGCTTCGAATGCTTTGTCGACAGCTATCGATCCTTTTCTTCTTGTTCAATGCTGCTTCTCTCTTTTCTCTCTCTCTGTGTAAAAAAAGATTGAGAACCGATTCTCTTTTTTTTTTTCCATATCCCTTCACCAAAAACGATGTGGTTGCCATGGCCATGCTGCCGCCATAGCCCTCATATTTGTCTTCGATCGTTTGTGCTTAAAGTGCTTAAGTTTCTTAGCTCTGTGTAATTTGAGAGCTTAGAAAGAGAAGAAAACCGGGGAAAAGAGCAAAAAAAAATTAAGCAAAACGACACCGTTTTGGCACCACGGCAAGAAGTGCCACAAGATGTCACAACAGAGGATCCAAACTCATAAAAATTGTGCTTAGGTTAAGTACGATAATAATATTACGTGATGATATCTTTAATTAGATACAAATTTCATGTGATAGTGAGATTATGTGATTATGTTAGACAGGATAAATGCCGTCTAATTTTATTTATATTTTTATAGAGTAATGCTATAATAATTATTTATTTATCAATCTAGTAATCAATTTTGATATCTTTAATTAGTTAGAAATTTCATGTGATAATGAGATTATGTGATTATGTTAGATAGGATAATGGATGCCCGTCTAATTTTATTTATATTTTTATAGAGTAATGCTATAATAATTATTTATTTATCAATCTAGTAATCAATTTTGTGTTAGAGGTACATGAGTGATAAACTCATTATGTCAATATTGTGATAACAAATAAAATGGTAAACAAATATAATACTTCCTCTATCCCACAATGTTAGTTACTTTTTGAAAATTCTAACTTTTTTAAAGAAATATGTAATTATTGTTTTGAAGTCGAATCAAAATTTATTGATTTTTCATATTATCCCCTTTATTCCCATTATTATAATCATTTTAAAGGATAGTTTTGAAGAAATACAAATTTTTTTGTTTTGAATTTTTAAAATGGACAACTATTTTGGGATATCAAAAAGTAACAAAATGAACCAATAATATATGGTAAAATTACTCATAAATCCCATTTTAGTAAATGTTACTCTAGTTAGTCCTAAGTGTTTTTTCTTAAACCATTTAGTCCTTTTTATTTTTGGTGTGATATGTTTTTGATATATGATGTTTGATGATGTTGATGATGTTGTTGGTGTAGTTAATGTCTTCATCAAACATCAGCAATGGCGGATGGGTGAGGATAATGTCTTCATCAAATATGAAGAATTTGCGAAGGGGGGGAAGAGGAAGGAAGCCAAGACGACGACGACATTGAAGTGGATGGCGCCCAGCCAAATGATGAGCGCCATAACTGTGTGGAAGACTGAGCTTTCTGAGCCAGTGAACTCAGTCGGTGAGGGCAGTGCCGCTGTGATGGACTCCGGCTCTGTCGCCATGGAAGAGTTGAAATCTCAATCGCAGAGTTTTCCAAGAATTTCAAGTGTAAAATCTGAATCAAAACATACACACATACAAGTTTATGTATGTATATAAATAGATAGGTAGTAAATCCAAAGTGTTTCGAATTGAAAGCACCGTTGGCGTCACCCAACAACCACTCGCCTCCGCTACCGAGCTATTGGTTCATTCATGTTCTGTGTCTGGACCATGAGTTCTTTTGGTGGTGATGATGATGTTTGATGATGTAGTTGATGTTGATGATGTTGGTGATGTTGATGATGTTTTATGATGTTGGTGATTTTTGATGAGGTTGAACATGTAGTTGATGTTTGATGATGGTCATAATGTTGGTGATGTTGGTGATGTGTGATGATGTTTGATGATGTAGTTGATGTTTGATGATGTGTTATGATGTTTGGTGATGTTTGATGATATAGTTGATGTTTGATGATGTTGATGATATTGTTGGTGTAGTTAATGTTGCTGATGTTCGGAAAGAATGGAAATCTAAAAAAGGCCTTTAGTGAGCTTTTAACATTCAAATAGGACTTATTAGTCTACAAAATAAAAGGTAGGACCAAATGGTTTAACAAATTAAAATTTGAGATTTATTGGTGTTTTACCCATAATATATGATAGAGGGAGTATTATATAAAAATGTAATAAATATAGAATTATTTTTGTATTGAGTATTAAGGTATGTTTATATTCAATATTTATTCTTGCCGATTGATTTCAGTACCATGGTTTGGCTTCGATTTGAGTCTTCGTTAAAGTAAATTTATTAACTAAAAAATCTATTTGTTATTTCTTTTTAATAGGAAAATCTATTTGCTAAATTTGTTTTTAGCTTATTTGACAAATTTATTTTTTATTGAAAAAGTTTACTTTAGTTAGTGAATCATGTGTTGGTTTCTTGCCCCTTTGCTTGGAAGGTGTGATCTGCAATGCTGAATTGGTGGGATATTGAAGGGGCTTTACCTGAATCTGTTGAAGGCATTCTCTTATGATGGAATGGACAATGTTTTAGGAGTAAAGGGAGGAAGATTTGGAGAGGAGTACCCCTGTTGTGTTGTGGTCTCTCTGGACCCATAGGAATGATTGTGTGTTCAATGCATCTATTCCAAATTTGGTGGTGCTTTGTGAAGTGATAAAGGTGACAATTGCATTATAAATGAAACCAAGTTATTCAGAGCATCATTTTTCAGTGCAGGACTTTGTGATAAATCGAAGGCAAGTGAGATGTGGAGAAGAGTGTAACACTCACAGTTATTCAAAGACCTTTGTTTTGAGTTTGGCTTGTTCACTGTGTTTTCTTTGGTTTTCTTGTTTGGTTGGACTCTCTCCAACTTTGGGTGGTGCTAGCAGATGATTGGACTAGTTAGCTGGTGCCAACCTAATTGGGATTGGCTAGTATAGCTTTAATGTTTTTTGCACCTTCGGTCTTTGCTGATGTTCATCTCTGTAATTGTATTGCTTGATTATCATCAATAAAGGTTTTTTTTGGTTGTTTCAAAAAAAAAAAAAAAAAGAAATCAAGGAAAAAGTTGTAACAAAAACAAATTAACTTTTTTAACATTAATTTTTATGTAAATTATAAATACATGTCTTGAGATTTGCTTAAAATATAGATTGCCCCTTGCATTTTGGAAAATTATAAATACACTCTTGTCAAAAAAATTTATTTAACAAAATTAACAGAAAAATTAAAATTTCTAACTACTTTTTTATACAACAATAAAATTATCTAAATTATTAATTAAAATTTATTTTTGATATTATTAAAAACTATTAATTAGTTTGATGATTTATTATAAAATGGCCCATTTGACTTGAAGAAGCAGAATGTAATTTTCAAAACTGCAAAGGTCAATTCATATTTTAAGCAAATCTTAGGAGGTGTATTTGAAATTTACCCTTAATTGTTTGGAGGAGGATCGTCTCCCGTCTAGATTTTAGACTGGAGGGTGTTGTTTGCGCCTGTGGGGCATACCACATATTCCATTTCGATGATCCAAACCTTTCATTTTGTCGGGTACTCACAAAAAATTAAGTTAATCTGATAATTGTAACTTACTCAATTTATTGCATTTTTAACCCCAAAAAATTGTGCTTTTAAAAAATAAATCATATATTTTTTTAGTTAAAAGCACGATAAATTAATTTAGTTACAATTAGGGTAAACTATCAATAGATTCTAATAATTAAACTTAATTCCCATTAAGTCTTATTGAAAATTAGTTTTTTTAAAATCGCCACTAAAAATAATTTTTTTAAAATCGCCACTAAAAATAATTTTTTGTGACAATTTTTTTGCATGTCGTTAAAAATTGATTATTAGTGACTTTTTTTGTTAGGATTTTTATAAACTGTCACTAAAACTTATAATTAGTGACATTTTTCTGTGACGAATTTTTCAAACTATCGTTGAAAGTTAAAAATTAGTGATATTTTTTTTTTTTAGAAAATAACCACACTTTATTAAAAGGCATCAAGATGATACAAAGGATACAAAAATAGAGGCTCCACGGGCTAACAAATCAAATCCTCCACAAAATCTACAAAAGCCAAAACATCAGTATCAACTGAACTTGTCACCCAACTATATAAAACTACAAGTAGCCGTCTTTCTAACCAAGGGACTGAATGAGACACCCCTTGAAAAACACGCTTATTCCGCTCCAACCAAACCAGCCATAGAATACAATGAAAAGCAAGCATTCACGTCTCTCGACTCCTCCTCCCGACTCGACCCCCCACCCAACTTTGCATGATTACCTTAATCGAATTCGGCTGCACCCAAGCCAAACCAAAAGTTGCAACCACTAACATCCAAAGGCGAGAAATAACCAGACAATAAACGAGCAAATGATCCAACAATTCCGCATCACCACAGCACAAACAACAACAATTAACTAATATATAGCCACGGTGAATTAAATTATCTATAGTCAAGATACACCCCAACATGGCCGTCCACACAAAAAAGGCCACCTTAGATGGCATACCCGAAACCCAAACACATTTCCAAGGGGAAGCAATTGCCTCCTCATGCGCAAGCACACCATAAAAAGAAGATACAAAAAACATGCCCTTAGCTCCAGGACACCCCCATGCCAAAGAATCCTGCCCACCCTCTCCCACTCGCAACTCATATAAAAAACCCAATAGCTCGACCAACTGATCTTACTCCCAATCCTGAACATCAAGACGCAGGCACACATTCCAAATAGTTGAAACCCCTTGGTTAGACTGCACAGCACCCACCATCACCTTATAATCAGCGACAATACCAAAATCAAAGGGAACTGCAATTCTAAAGGAAGGTCACCGCATCTTGAGCTCCACCCTCTTCCAAAACTCCTCCCACCCCAGCCAGATCCCTTTCCATAGACCACGACCATAAGATTGCCCCACCCGTCCTAAACACCACCCTTCATTTCCTATATCAAACTTTGCTACCACCACCCTTCTCCAGAGATAGTCCTGCTTCTCCACAAAACGCCATAACCACTTCCCTAACAGGGTCACATTAAACAAGACCAACCTTCGAATCCCCAAACCCTCATTCACCTTGGGACGACAAATCCTATCCCAGGCCACCAAGTGATAATGAGAACCCTCCCTCCATTACCTCACAATAAATCCCTCTGCAATTTCTCAATCTATTTTACCACTGACACCGGAATCACATGGACAAGCATAAGTAAGTCGGAATACTGGATAGAACACTCTTAATTAACAAAAGTCTACTGCCTTTTGATAAATATTGTTGTTTCCATCTTGTCAACCGCCACTGCATACGTTCCATCACTTCCTTCCACACCCACTTGGCCTTAAAAGACGCCCCAAAAGGTAAACCCAAATATGAAACTGGCAGAGACGCCACCTTGCACCCTAGAATAGCTTCCAACACTGGGATCCTTGCCACCTTTCCCACTAGAATCAGTTCTGACTTTGCTAGGTTCACTCGAAGTACTAAAACTACCTCAAAGCACAAGAACACAAATCTCAAGTAACCAATCTGATCAACATCTACACCACAAAAAATGAGCGCATCATTCACATAAAACAAATGGGAAACTGTCAGAACTGTTAGATCCACCCCCACCGCAAACCCCTGCAACAGACCTCCCTGTACCGCTCTAGATAACGAACTCCCTAACGCTTCCATAACCAGTATGAATAATAAAGGAGATAAATGATCACCTTGTGGTAGCCCTCTATAAGTAGGAAATGAACTTGCTGGAGATCCATTAACAAGGACTGGCATCTGCATTGTAGAAATACAAAATTGAACCCCCTGCCTCCATCTATCCCCAAAACCGAGTCTATCCAACATATACAATAAAAACTTCCAATTAACATTATCATAGGCCTTCCAATTAACTTCCAATTAGTGTCATTTTTTTGTGACGATTTTTTTAAACTGTCAGTTAAATTTATAATTAGTGATATTTTTTGTGACAAAATTTTCAAACTGTCGTTGAAAATTAATAATTAGTGACTTTTAGTATTTGATAAAAAATGTCATTAATTATCACAAGATCTATTAGACAATAAGTCTACGTATTAGGACCTACACGTAAATTTTCCTTACAATTATCGGATCGACCTAATTTTTTATGTGAATAAAATATACAAAATACCTAACAAAATGAATAATTCAAATTATCAAAAAAGACTTGTGATGGGTCCCATAGGTCCAAACAATATCTCCTGTCCAAAATCTAGAGTAGGGTTTCTGCTCCTAATTTTTTGTATAAATTTTTATTTTGAACTAATTGTAGACACCCCATTTTTGACCGTCCTCAAGACTTGGACGTCACCGCTTGGAACACTAGGTGATTATCCATGTTTGTGTTCGTTTGGAGTTCCCGGAGGTCTCGGCTCGCGCGCCTTGCCTCAGGATCTCCGAACTCGACTGTTTAGTGTCTGGTTTTGCACCAAACACTTGTGTTTTGCCTTGGAGGAGCAGGAAATGCCTTGTGAGGCATCCCCAACACAAGACCCACTGGCTATAGTGCTAATGAGCCACACGGCTAGTTTTTGATTCCATCGGCACCTTTTATTGCCGGTCGCACTGTTGTTGCCCGTCGCATATTTTGTGTTCGGTCGGCACTAAATTTGTCGAAATAACATTTTTGGGCAGCCGACCACTGTTCATCTACTTTATGGAGATATTTTGTGCCAGCTGTGATAGCTGGCCACCAACTCTGCCTCCCTCCATACACGTGTATGGAGGGATCTCCCCTCTAAGCAAGCTTGTTGTATAAGCTTTGCAAGAGGGAATCCTATAAGAGGAGGCTCTCCTCTTTGAATCTAGGTAGAGACTTTGGAAGCAAAAACCAGAGTTTAGAGAATATAATAGAATCCTATCTTATAATCTCCCTCCCTCTCCTCCTTGTGTGTGTTTATTTGGCCCAAAAGTTGTGATTTTACTTACTTTTGCACTATTACACACACTATTACACCTTGCTGCCGAGTTTGAGGGACTTGGGGGGGTTGATTCTTGAGTTTTTGACTGATTTTTGATCAAAAGAAGAGGGCTAGACCATTTGTTTCAAGGTTCTTCAAGGGTGAGCATCTTGCTTTATTTTCCCCAAATTACAATAGTTATTTACCTATCTTGCTTGCTGATTTAGCTTTTTGTGCATAACATGAAAAAAGGCTTATATTTTCATTGCTTTAGAACTTTCATTAAGGTTGTCTTGTAGTTGAGTGCAACTCACCTTGTTAGCCTTTTTGGCTCCCTTTGTTGCCTCTTTGGTAGGGCTTTGTGTACTTCAGTGTTTTTGTATTCTTTCCCCACTGAAAACCAGTGTATTTTTGAGTGGTAAGGAAAGATGGTTTGAAGTCTTGCATAGGGGAGGACACCTCTCTCCCTTCATTGTCTTGTTTCCTGAGTTTTGGCCCAAAAGGGTAACATGCATGCTTGCTTGTTCTTTGCTTATTTAAGAACTTTTTGGGTGTTTTTGGGTCATATGGGATCTCTGTTTTTGGCCGATCTATGGCCCTTTGCATGCTTAGTATACTTGCTTCATACTCCCTCATTTGGCCTAGACTCGGTGCTTGTGTTTGGGCCTTATATTTTGCATGTGTTGGCTTGGTTCCATGAAGATGTTGGCTTTATTTTTATCATGTTTAAGTTTGTTGGCCCTTCATTTTAGTCATGCTTGCATGGTTTGATTCATCCCTTGGATTTGCTTGTAAGCCTTGAGCACTTATCTTGTACTATGAACTCTTTGTTTGGCATCATTTAGGACCTATTTCAGCCCTAAGGATTATGCTTGTATGTTGCATTGTTATGGTCTCTTATTTGCCTTGAATGTGTGCTCTTTTATGCCTACACATTGAGCCTTGGTGCATATGCCTTTTGGAGACTACTTAGTGTCCATATTAAGGAGGTTTTGCTGAGTCCTATTGGTTTGCATGTAGTGAAATTCTTTTCTACTTGTTGATCATGCCATGACGTGGTCATGTTAGTGGGAGTAAATGCCTCTTTTTGTCTAACTTTAAGGTACCTTTGGATTTTGACTTTTATATCACAATGACATTTGTCACTTTAGTGTGCACTTTATTTGGCACGAGTTTTGAGGTGATGGTTTGTGTGCTGCTCGCCCTACATTTAAGCCACTTTCTTTCTTGTCTGCTTTTGTTCATGAGTTGTTACATGATTGTTTTCCCATTAATCGTTCTTTTTGTTTTGCAGATCCCATGCTAACTTATTGGCAAATTGGTCTTCATGTTTGCATCACATTTGCACCTTTGCATGCTTAGCATTTGCATGAGTTGTCATGATAGTTCCATAACATTTGCCATGACTTGATAATTTGGTATCATGTGCATTCTATCTTGTTTGCATAACATGCATTGCATTGTTTTTGGTTTGTGGTCAAAACAAGTGTGAGTGTTAAGGAGTGTTCATACTTCAAGTGATGAAACACGCTTAACTCTCGGTCGCCGGAGCCTTTGTGACTTACTCGACAATGATAAGGTTTGGATCTCATTTGTATGTTGCATGCATCTTTACATTAAGGGGCAAATTTGATCCCTTGGGCTATCATGCACCAATTGATGGCTCGAGGATCGAAGGTCATGCTTCTTTAGTGTCAAAGCATGATGGAAGCATGACCATGCTTACATATGCCTGAAAACCCCATGCCATGCACTGTCTGTTTCTCTGTTTGCTGTCAACTGTCTTCTGCAGGAAGTTTCTCCGACCGGCAAGATCTCGTCAGGTGCCTGGCCGGGACAATCCTTTGATGGCCGATAAATCAAAACAGTCGCCGATGGCAAATCTGGACTGCGGTCGGGGCAATTCGTGTTAAACCGGTGGTACTCTGCAACATTCAAGGAACCTGTCCTAGGTTTTTGGCGATTTTCAGAAAGACAGGACAGTTGTTAACAGATTTGGTGGCAAAGATATAGGTACGGGGTTTTCAGGCGAGCGGTTTTCCGAGCACGCATCATTCACGCATCCCGAGAGCAGAGCTGCGGCCACCCCTCTTTCTTTCTTTTGCATTCTTTTTTTAATTAATTTAGAATTCCTGTAAAAAATTTTTTTGCTTTTATATTTGGGGATTGTGAGGTTTACCCAAACATAATTAAAATTTGCCACATATACTATAAATTATAAAAAAAAAAAATATAATAAAGACAAGTATCAAAAAAACCACGAATATAATTTTGCAGCTCATCTATTCTTGATCGTTTAAAATATTGACTAATTATTCTCTAAATGAACATTCTAAAGTTCACGTGTAAGAAAAAAGAACAAAAAAGATAACAAAAATAGAAAAAATAAAAAAAGAAAACAAAAAAGAAAAAAAAATAAAAAAATAAATAAAACAAAAAACAAACAAAATAAAAATATTAAAAACAAATAAAATAATAAAATAATAAAATAATAAGATAAAATAAAAATAATAACGAAAATAATAAGGAAATAGTTAATAAAGATATATGTCATAATAATCAATTCAAAAAATGTCGTTTAACTCTTTAGATATATTGAAATTACTTGAGAAGTATGTGAAAAAAAAATGGAAGGCAAGATAAAAAGTTAAATGATAATGGAAAAAAAACAGAGATAATAATGAAATTAAAACATTGTGATTAGTGATTTAGGAAAATAACTAATAGATTTGAAAATAATAAAAAAAAATCACCAAGAAGAATTTTATAAGACTATTTCTTTTTGCTATCCTCCGAGATGAGGGCAATTAACGTAATAAGATGTGCGGTGGCAAGTGTGTGTATGTCTTCCAGACCTCGCTCTTCTCCCTTTTATTTACTTGCTTACGATAGGATAGATTAGCGGCACATTTTAATTTAGCATATACTCTTATGCTATTCCATGCGTGGATTCAATGCATTTGTATTGAAGCTGCATTAAGCGTCGGGCTACATCACGCTTAATGCATGTGTGACTTCATTCACGCATATTTTTTTGAATATGTGAAGACTGATCGCATTTCGAACCATGCCATGTATTAGGTTAGCCGAGCCTTACTCTAATTGCATTGCCTGCATTGTTGTTGCATGTCAACTTGACATAGTACTATGACATGCATGTTTGCTAACTAGTTTACTGTTTTGGCACGGAGTACGATGTAAGTATTTTTGCTTTAGCATCCCGCATGCGTGTGAGTGTTGCCATGACAGTATGCTTGCCATGTGGCTAAATGCGTATATGATAAACTGTTTGAATGCCTGTGGGTGAAGGTTGGGTTGTTTGAGTTGGAAAAACTTATTGAAATCCGTGTTTTAGTCTACTTGCAGGTAGCAAATTCCAAAGCACTTTTTAAAGCAAACGGATATGCAATGCTTGTTTCCAAATTAGGCAATCTAGTCTATACTTGTTTGCTGTGCGCATAACATAGTAATTCTAGGCTAATAACCGGAATAAGAACACATAAAGTTTTCAAAAATGGATATCACGGTTAGTACGGCGTCTTCGGACCGGGCGAAAGGGGGTGCTCATAGCTGACCTTCCCCGATCGTACCCAAGCTCCCGAGCCGAGACAACTCCGGTGATGACGGACATGTGGCCTTCGGCACCGAGTCAGGATTTCCTAAATTTCCCCATTTAAAAAAAATATTTAGGTGGCGACTCTGTATCTGGCAAAGCAGTCCATGTTTGGCACTTCTTTCAAAATCTGTTTTCTCAAAATGATTTGCCGAATTTAGACTCTTTGGTTCAGATTTAGAACCGTGACACAAATCGAGAGTCCGAACTGTGGCAGCGAGGTCCCCTCGCGGCCGTGCTACACTAAT